AGTGCAGTGGCATGATCATAGCTCACTGCAACCTCAAAGTCCTGGGCTCACGTGACCCTCTTGCCTTAGCCTCTTGAGTAGTTGGGCTTGCACCACGAGGCTCAGCTAAGTTTTTAAAAAAATTTTTTGTAGAGACAGGGATCTTGCTGTATTGCCCAGGCTAGTCTCAAATTCCTGGCCTCAAGCAATCCTCCTGCTTTGGTCTCCCAAAATGCTGGGATTAGAGGCATGAGCCAGTGTACTCGGGCACAATTTCCGTTTTCTTATGCGTCCCCCGTACCTGTCCTATCAACTGCTGACCTTCACGTCAGGACTGATTTCAGCAATAGCCTGTTTCACCCTTGGTGAACGACAAAGATCTGAGTGTAGGAGGTGAAGTAAGAGGGTTTCAGCTGTTCTAGAAAAAGAGAGTTTTTGGCCAGTGGTGGTGGCTGTTTCTGGCCTTAGGGGGCTGGAGCGGCTGCCATTTAAAAAAAAAAAAAAGGAAGAAGAGAGTTTTGCTGTAGAACTCTGCATATACAGGTCTTAGCTACGAACTTTTCCCTTTGGACCGAAATTCTCTCTAAATTCTTACAGCAATTTCTACAACCTTTTCTCTCCCCTCCATGATTCCACCCTACCCTACTCCCCACAAGGTAAGTTTGTCAAAAGAATGTGTCCCCAGCAGAGGGACACACACGTGTCAGGTGACTCCCCGAGGTCGTGTCTGGATCCCGGTTAAAGTGATGCTTCTCAAGCAGGGGCAATTCTGGACTCCCAGGGGACATTTGGTAATGGCTGGAGACAGTTTTGATTGTCACGCCTGGGGGCGCTACAGGAATGTGGTGAACATCCTACAGAGCACAGCACAGCCCCACCACCATGCAGAACTGTCTGGCCCAAATCGAGAGCCCCCTTCTAAACTGATACTCCTTGCCTAGTTTTGCCCCAGAGTCAGTATTCACACTGGTAACAGTGTTTTTCTTTCTTCGATTGCTTTTCAGATTGAGAATGGGCTCTGCATCTGTGCAGCCATGCCCAGCAAAGTCGTCATTCTCCGCTACAATGAAAACCTCAGCAAGTACTGCATCCGGAAAGTAAGTCCAGGCTTTGCCTCAGCTGAGCGTGGTCTAGCCTGTCCTGCTGTCTCGGGAAACTGCGTGTGTCTGGTCCCTTCCACCTGCTGGCCTTCAGCCCGGGGTGACCTCCCTAGAGAGTGAGACCCTTCCTTTCTGGAAGAACTTCCCGAGCTGCTGAGAGCTGCAGTTTTCCATCTCGCTTATCTTCTGCTGTTTGGAACTGCCTCTCCGTGCAGCCCAGTGAGTTCAGCATTTTGTTAGAGCAGAAAGTTGGCTGATGGAGGAGACGCTTCTTTTGAACCAGTGGAAAAAAGGAAGAAGCTCTCTCTACGAAGCTAGCAGTCCCAGGTCGCAGTTATCAGAATCTTTCTCAGATTCTAGAGGTTTCCATTAATATAACCTTCTGGAATACCCAGTGCTAGCTCTATTTCGATATGTAATTAGGGAGCTGGTTCTCAGAGGAGGACCAGAGGGAGTTGTGACGAAAACTGCGGTATGGACAAGGTACGTGTTAGATCATTAAATTCGAATTGCTTCCAGAGACGGCTGTCTGATGTCCCTAGACTAAGAATGCTCTACTCATCATAAGCCTAATTTATTTCAGGTGCTTTCATAATTAGTCTCAAAAGTGAAATGAGGGGTGAATAACAGATAAGGATCGTTACCTCTTAGAGAAACTATTCCATTCTGCGCAGGACGTTGTTTAGTTTGTGTGTTTACTGAACACCCTCAGTACCAGGGACTGAGCTAGTTATCTTACGAACACTTTCCACAACAGTTCTGAAAAAAGCAGGATGGTCCTCCCCAGTTTTCAGGTAAGAAAATCAAAGCTGGCAGAGATCCTGAGTTACCAAGTTGAGACCAAAACTGAGGTTTGATTTTTCCCTGTTGTTTCACTGTATTATGCTTCCTAAAAGTTTTCTCGTGCTTGTAGGTGGCCAATAAATATTCAGTGATGATGGTTATGCTGGAGCAGAGTTTGAACTCTTAGTTTCAGGAAAATTCTCAGAAATCATTGTGTTTTTGTGATACCTGGCGACCATTTTGAATAAGCATGCCCAATTTTTTTTGACGACATTAGGATTGGCCTAAAAACAAGTAAAAATAATTAGGAAGCAGATAATTAAGATAGAATGACAATGATGATGATGATGATGATAATCATACAGGTAATGTAGCTTCAAATTGGAAACTTAGATGCTAACAAAAAGAAGGAAACCAAAACCATTCCTTCTACCCGCCGCTGTTAATACTTGGCGTATTTTTCCAGTCTTTTTTTTTTTCTCTGATAAGAATGTCGTATTGTTAAAGTTCTATCTTTGCAATTGAAATGGCATTCCTGACCATTTTTTGTAGCTGTAATTTGACCATATTTTCTTAGTCTGGGGTTGCACAGAACAATAGGAAGAGGTGGCAAATGGATCACTGGTCATCCCGAGAGGCGTGCAAGGCTTTCTGCGAACAAGTCTGGTGGCGGTCGCCTGTGGGGTGTGGCTAGAGGCTTCAGACAGAAACAGAACACCAGTGGACGTGTGGCTGTCGAGTGTCACCTCTATATTCTTCTCTTGTCTCAGGAGATAGAGACCTCAGAGCCCTGCAGCTGTATCCACTTCACCAATTACAGTATCCTCATCGGAACCAATAAATTCTACGAAATCGACATGAAGCAGTACACACTTGAGGGTAGGGCCTGTGTCCCCTTCCCCGCCCCACGCACGGCTCAGACCTTGCTGAGAATCGGAAGTCATTCCTGAGGCCCTGCTTCTCGCCTGCCTTTACAGAATTCCTGGATAAGAACGACCATTCCTTGGCGCCTGCGGTGTTTGCCTCCTCTTCCAACAGTTTCCCGGTCTCGATCGTGCAGGTGAACGGCGCAGGGCAGCGGGAGGAGTATTTGCTGTGCTTCCACGGTGAGTCGTGGCTGCCGCCCCCTGCTCTGTTGGGTGTGTGTGTGCGTCGAGAATCCCAGATCGGGTCGTGACGGGTCGGGGGATGGTCAGAGGGGCTCTGGTGGCGGATGGGTCCTGCTGGAAGTACTGAGAATGTCGTTCCAGCACCTCCAAGGACCCCGGGGCGTTCTCCCCTCCGCTGGACACTAATGCAGTCTGACTCGATCACATTCTCTCCAAAGGGCAGGCAGTTTTTTTTCCCTTCTCTTTCTTTCTCTTCCTCATTTTCTTTCTCTGGCCTTATTTCCTTGTTTTGCTCTGTTCTTTTTTTTTTTTTTTTTAACCTCTGAGTCTTTCCATCTCTCTCTCCCTGTCTCTGGGTCTCTACGCCTCTCCCTGTCTCTCTTTTCCTTCTTCCCTCTCCCCTTTTTTCTTATTCCCTTTTTCCCTTTTCCTCCTTTTCCTCCCTCTTTAATAAAATATGATAAATTAAAAGTTTTTTTAATTAAAAAATTTCTCACTTGTAATATCACTGAGAGGTGGCTCAGCAGAGATCCTGCGTTTCTGACCACCCAGTTAAACCTGCCACTTGTCCCCTGGGCTCTATCCCTCCTTGCTCCGTCTGTCACTGGCACACCCTGCCTGTGGCTGTGCTAATGCCCACGTCCTCTTGACACCTTGCAGAATTTGGGGTGTTTGTGGACTCTTACGGAAGACGGAGCCGCACGGATGATCTCAAGTGGAGTCGCTTACCTTTGGCCTTTGGTACGTGAGGCGTGGGGTGGGGGCTTCTCTTTTGCCAGCCACTGGTATCCTGGGAAAGAATTGCACGTAGAATTTTTTTTTTTTGGCTTAAACACTGTGTTCATGAATTCTGTTAGACACCGAGTACTACGTGTAACAGTCACCCGAATAAATGCTCACAACAAAGATTCTCAGGCTTGATGAACCAACCGCCTAAGCCACATCCACCAGGCCACAGTCCCAGCCTTGTGAAATATTTGCTAGGTCTCATGACAGAAAGGAGACCGTCCCCTGCAGATTTATTTCAGTCATTTTCAAAGGCGCCCAGTATCCCATGGCATAGCTGATCACCTATCAATTTAACCAGTTCTAACTAGGCAAAGCAGTAGGGTCATGCCACTTCTTTTTGTAAGTGTAAACGACGCTTCGATGAACATCCTTGTATTAATCTTTGTACACTTGTCAAATAGTATCGTAAATTCCTACGAGTAGAGCTACTGGGTCAAAGAGTAAACACATATATCTGTACACATATACCTATGTGAATGTTCTGAAATGCCATCATGGCCGCAATACCCTTCAAGGCTATTTTGTTTATCTATTGCTGCATAAAAACCCATTCCAAAACTTAATGACTTAAAACAACAGCTTATCATTGCCCCGGATTCTGTGGCTTGACTAGACAGTTTGCTTCTTGTGGTGTCAGCAGGGGCGCTGGGACAACTAGAAAGGCCTCATAAACGTGGCAGGCAATGGGTGCTGGCCGTCAGGTGGGTGCTCAGCTGGGGCTGGTGGCTTGATTGCTCTCCACGTGGGCTTCTTCCAAGAGTCTGGAAGTAGAAGCCGGCAGAGGCCTGCTCACTTCTACCACATTCCGCTGGTTAGAGCAAGCCACGGGGTCAGCCCAGGTTCAAGGCAAGGAGAGTGCATGAGGACTGGAGTACCTGGAAGCACGACTAATAGTCTAACGCCAAAGTAGGATGGGTACGGTGGCTCACACCTGTGATCCCAGCACTTTGGGCGGCTGAGGTGAGAGGATTACTTGAGGCCAGGAGTTTAAGAGCGGCCTGGGCAACAAATCAAGACCCCATCTCTACAAACAAAAAGTTAGCCAGGCGTGGTGGTGTGCGCCTGTAGTCCAGCTACTTGGGAGGCTGAGGCAGGAGGATCATTTGAGCCCAGGAGTTCGAGGCTGCAGTGAGCTACAATGACACTGCACTCCAGCCAAGGCGACAGAGAGAGAGAGAGACCCTGTCTCTGAAATAATAATAATAATAATAATAATAGTGATACCAAAGTAACAATTTACCACAAATAATAATAATGATAATCACCTTTCCCTTTTAGGCAGAAAACATTTCCGGTCGTACCCTCTCTAGTTTCAGTGACACTGTGATACAGAGATAGAGTATTAAGAGACCAGAAGTATCTAATTATCTATGAATTCAGTCTTTTTTTCTTTTAACTTTTCAAAGATGTTTACAATCAAACAGTTTAAAAAGGTATACAATGAAAAGTCTCACTCATGTTACCCATCTCCCAAATTCTCCATCCTGTTCTCCAAAGGAAAAAGCTTCTATGAGTTTCTTATGCTTCCAGTGCTTTATGCAAATGCAAGCACATAAAAATATATATTTTTCCCACCTTTTTTTTTTTAATCAGTGAGGTAGCACACTTTACACGTTATGTGAAACCTTACTTTATGCACTGAGCAATGTACCTTGGGTATTTTTTTTTTTTTTATCTCTTTGGCTTCTCTGTGTATTTTTACTTTTTTTTTTTTTTTTTTATCTCTTTGGCTTCTCTGTGTATTTTTACAGCCGTGTAGAGTTCCATAGATGTTTATTTAACTGATCTCTTATAATGTACAGTTGAGCTGTTTCCCATCTTCTGCTATAATAGCATGACAGTGAATATACTCAAACATGCATGATGATGCTTGGCACATGGATATGGATTTGTAGGATAAATTCCTTTACGTGGGATTGCTGGGTCAAAGAATGCATTGCAACCAGATTTTCATTTTCCCTCTTTTAACCCTGTGTCCCATGCTCTTCCTCAATGGTGGCCACACAGCCTACAGAGAACCCTATTTGTTTGTGACCCACTTCAACTCACTGGAAGTAATTGAGATCCAGGCCCGCTCGTCATTGGGGTAAGCACTGCCCTCCCCTGCTTTGAAACCTCAGCTGCTGAGGCAGGGTGTTGGGGCGGGCGCATGTTTCTCCCTAACCTGCACCGATTGGAAACTCTCATCTGGAACTCTGCAGGACCCCTGCCCGAGCATACTTGGAAATCCCGAATCCACGCTACCTGGGTCCTGCGATTTCCTCGGGAGCAATTTACCTGGCGTCCTCATACCAGGATAAATTAAGGGTCATCTGCTGCAAAGGAAACCTCGTGAAGGAGTCCGGCACTGACCACCACCGGGTCCCTTCCACCTCCCGCAGGTAACCACCCTCTCCTCTTCCTCGTTGCTGGGGGCAGTGTGCTTTTCTGCAAGGCACAAGGAAATCTTGCTAAACTGGTTGAAGTTTTCCAGCCTTCACTTTGTCCTGAAGCTCGAACTACCTGTTTCTTTTGAGATCTGTAGCACTGAAATGGCACAGTCCTTTATGAGCACCAGGAGAATTGTAAAATATCCCCTTAGAAAGGTCAGAAGGGAGCGTTCTGATCTTTCTCTCATGGCTATTTTCAGTGGCTCTGTGAGGGATGGAGCACAAATTATGCATTCATTGCTTTAGCAGATACTGTGCTGTGTTCATTGTTGGGCTCGCGAGGGGAGATACGATGGTGAATGAACCAGACACAGCCCCTCTCTGACGATGCTCAAAGCCCCGTGGGGGAGACACCAGTGGATTCGAGCACAGAAGGGCAAGGCTGTGGCGGGGTAGCGTGAAGCACCCTGGGAGCTCAGAGGAGGGCCCCAGCCTGGACGTGGGGACCAGGAAGGATTTCCCATCAGAGATGAGGCTAGGGGCTGGGGGAAGGGAGGGCAGGGAGGGCAGTGAGGAGTGCTCCGGCAGGAAGGAAAGGCAAGCTGCGTATGAGGGTCCAAAGGTGTGAGACCATGAGAGCTGGCCTGGGGTTTCCAGTCCGCCTCGTGGCATCCATGGAATTTGAAACCTCCTGAACGTGATTGGACTGAGGTTCTTTTTAAATTTTATTTTTAATATTTCACTTATTTTCAAATCAGTAATCCAATCACAGGGCACAAAATTCAAAGGATACAAGAAGGCGTATGGTAGAAACTCTGTCTTCCAGCTCTCTCATGCTTCCCAAGTCTCTTCACCCTCTGCTACCCAGGTCCCCATGGGAAGAAACTAATTTTTAAAGTTTTTGTGTTTCCATTTGGAGATCCTTTACGCATATAGAGTCAGCCCTCAGTATCCGTGGGTTCTGCACCGTAAATTGAACAGAGCACAGATCAAAAATATTTGGGAAAAAAAAAAATCATTCTGCACGTGTACAGACTTTTTAAATTGTCACTGTTCCCTAAACAATATGATAAAACAACTATTTATAGCGCATTTACATTGGATCAGGTATTATAAATAATCTAGAGATGATTTAAAGTGTACGGGAGGATATGTGTAGGTTATATGCAAACACTGCACCATTTCATGTCAGGCACTTGAGCGTCCAGATTTTGGTATCCGCAGGAGGTCCTGGAACCAGTCCCCCACGGACACCGAGGGACGACTGTACAAGTAGATGCGTGTGTGTGTCCATGTGTTCTTCCCCTTTTTTTAAAACACTCTTCGTTGAGATAATTCATATACCATAAAAGGCAACCTTTAAAGGTACAATCAGGGGTTTGTTGTATATTCACAGATTTGTGCAACCACCACCACAGTCTAATTTTAGAACATTTTTATCACCCCCAAAAGAAACTTCTTATTTTCCCCGACTGGTGTCACTGCTTCAAGCACTTGCCATGTGTAACGATTGCTGCTGATTGTTTTGCCTGGGCATCGGACTTTTCTTAATGAGCGAGTCCTATGTCAGGTCAAATAAAGACAAGCCCTGAAAAAATGGGTCTTTTTCAGGGAGTAGCCAGACAGGTCAGACAGTGACAATTTTCTGGGGATGAGGTGTTTTGGGAAACTTCAATCCTGATCTCCGCCGTCCAGTGGCCATGGGTCTGCACAGCTGCTGTGGTTACAGGCTGCTGACAGCAACTCTACCACAGACCTGGGAGAGGGCTGTGGGGTGGAGGAGAGGTTACTATGTCACAAACTTGCTGTTCTTACTGAGATTCCATTGGTTTTTTTTGCACAAACACTCTTCCAATTGTTGCAGGCCTTTTTTGCAACATGCTTGGTCAGTGTGGCTTTTGAGCTCAGGAGCTTGTTGGAAAGCCAGAGGGGCCAAATAACCAGGTGCTCCTAACTCTTTGGGTTTGACCCTGACTCAGGAGTGACTAAAGGACTAGGGTTAATTTCCAGAGTTCTGAAAAAGTTGATTTTGACAATTTTTGCCAGTGTTCTTTTTGCTTTTATGGAGGAATAGGTTTTGGGGGTCCTTACTCTGACATTCCAGAAGAGTTCTTCACCCTTTTTTTAATACAAGTGATAACACACTGCGCATCCTCCTCTGTGTCCTAGTGTATCTTGGCGACTGCTCCATGCTAGTGTAAGAAGTATTTCCTCTTTCATTTTTATTCAAATGCCTGCGTAGCATTCCTTCCCATGGCTGTGCCTTAATTTACTTAACTGCTCCTTTACCAATGGATGTTTGGGTTGTTTCCAGTCTGTTGCTATAGTAAATGACTTTGTACGTGTGTCATTTTTGCCTGCTGAGGAATCTGTCTGTAGGATAAATTCCTAGAAAAGGCATTGATGGGCGACAGCAGACGTGCGTTTGTAATTCTGACGGATGTTGCTGAGTTTTCCTCCTTGGAGGCTGCTTCCGTTTGTGATCCCAGCAGCCGCATGTGGAAGTGGGCCCCGCCCTGTCTTGTCACGGAGGGCTGGGAGCCAGATCCAGCTCTGTGTGTGGGAAGTTTGAAACCTTGGTCTGCAAAGAAGGTCTGAGATTATTTAACCCCGGGGAATAATGCAACAACCTAGGATTTTAATTTTCGGGATGGGATTACCAGCCGTACTTGTCTATCCTGTAAATTGTTAAGTACCTGCTGCCACGTGCCAGACATGAGCTCTGGGGCCGGGGATATAGAGATGAAGAAAACTCTGTTTTCTTATTCTCAAGGGGCTCACAGTTTGGTGGAGAAACCACATTTAATATCACAAAATACTTACATCTTGGAAAAGACAGTCATCAATTTAATATTGCGGCACTATGTCCTAATGAATAGTCTCTCTTTTGTTGATGTAGTTGTTAATTCATGTGAAATGTTTGGTTAGTGTGGTTTTAATCCCAGGAATTTGCTGAAAAACCAGAAGTGCCAATAATTAAGTGCTCTTGACTGCTTTGGTTTGGCCCTTTCTCCAGAGTGATTGCTTAGTGGGCTACAGGCCTCCCCTGAAAAGGTCTGACCTTCTTTAAATAATTTCCAAGTCATGCCAGAAACAAATTAAAGTAATTAGATTTCTTTTTCCTCCCCATTGCCTAGTTAGATGGCCAGGCCATCTTGCTTTTGAGACTATGTAATCTCTCGATAAGGAGTTGCTATTGTGTGGTCAGAAATGGTTTTGATACCTGTGAACAAGGGGCAGAAATAACGTGTTAGCTTTCCTGCTGCTGCCAAGGATGTCTGGAAGGTCAGCAGTTAGTCTTTAGTTCTCTCTTGGCTTATAGAACAGTCTTTTTGTCGCCGACTGCTTTGGGCAGGTCAGAGGTAGAAGGCGGCTTGGCGGGGTGTGAGGCACTGCAGGCCTCGTTGCCCTGGCCTGTTTAGCAGAGCAGGAAATGGAACTCTTTGCAAAAAACATAAAATTGATGTGGTATTAATAGATCATTGGTCATTAATGGATAAGGAGATGGAAGACGGCCTGCTTGGCTTGGGTGATGCCATTAATCTGACGTCCTGGATGGCCTTCCCTGAGCCATCCCTCTTCCCCTGGTGCAGTGAGCACGCTCTGATTTGATTTATCAAGGGCCCCTGTGGACACATTTTATGATTTGTCTTCCACTACAAATAGGCTTAATGTAGTTTTCCTACTTGGAATTTATTTTTTCATTTGTCTTCAGTATCTCAAAGCCACATGGCTAGAGAGGAATATAAATCTTGATTTCAAGATGTTCTTTCAAGTGTGAGTTATCTCAAATGTTACTGCTGCACAGACAACACAGAGAGCCTCTGGCCTTTGGAGGATTTGCTGCCCGAACGTCCACAGTTAGCACTGCATGGGGAAGCAAGTGAATGACGTGAAACCATTCACTGTGAACTGACCACTTATAAAATTACCTCCGCTCACCAACATCTGTGTTTTACTGCAGAGCAGGAATTGGCAAACTTTTTCTGTAAAGGTCTGGAGGGTAAATATTTTTGGCTTTGCAGGCCATATGGTCTCTGTCTCATCTACTCAACCTTGTTGTTGTAGCGTGGAAGCAGCCATAGACAGCGCATAACCAGATGGGCATGGCTATGTTCCAATAAAACTTTATTTACAAAAACAGGCATCTTCTGGATTTGGCCCTCAAGCCTGTTCTAGAGTTTCTGCTTGTCCAGTGGGTTTCTGTCTTTGCTGCTCTGTTGCGTCTCAATTGACAGGGGAGGTTCTGGTAAGAGACCAATAATTGAAGGAAAAAAACCTAACAAGTTGATAAAACAATAACCTCTTCCAAAGAGAAGGATTTAAATATTAAGGATTAAGATAGGCCTTTGGGAAAACCACTGATGCTCTCAATTTTTAATTTTAGTTTTTTAGAGATAGGGTCTTGCTATATTGTCCAGGCTGTCTTGAACTCCAGGTCTCAAGTGATCCTCTAGCCTCAGCCTCCCAAGTAGTTGGGACTACAGGCATGCACTACCATGCCCGACTCTCTCAAATATTTTTGAAGAACCTTCTTTAGGATCTTACTGCAAAAGTCCAACATTGATGTAAAGAATGTCATAGCATGTCAGCTACAATTTTGTTGAGAAAATTAGAGCAAAATAAATCATTATGTGATGTAATTGCATTGTAATTTAGATTTTAAAGATATCTAGGACAAAATAAATTATTTTCCTGATTTCAAGTTTTATTTTCCAAGATAAAGCCCCAATCAATCAACATATGTCCTCAATAAACATTTACTATGAAATCTTGTCCCCATTTTAAGTAGGTTGCCTTTTCCCAGCCCCAATTACGCTCAGATAATGAGGACCCCAGAACTTTTTCTACTGACCAGGGGTGAGAAGGCATTGACTCAGGAGGCCGCATTTCAGTTCTATTTCTGGATCGTGTGTCCTCACAGAGGTAGTTAGGGCCGTGGGTCTGCTGCAGTCTTCGTTTGAGATATCCAGGCCAGGGCTGGGCGGAGGAGGGTTGGGTTGGTCATGCAGAGAGGCCCCCGTGTTTTTAAGTGTCTGGTTATTAACCGTCATCTTTTGGGGCCTGGGATGCTTTTTGAGCCAGCTACACTGTTTTTGTCTGCCCTGCTCAGTTTCCTAATACCAGGCCTGATCCCTACACCTCTCCATCATCTTATTGCCACAGCTATGAATTGTCAACTTTCTGAGCAGCCGCATCTGTATCAGGTGCCCCAGGGACTCTTGGAAAGCCACCTGGAGGGAGAGGTGACCAAACACCAGGCTCAGGAGGGGGACAGACAAGGCAGCTGACAGTGACCAGCACAGGATTCCTCAAAACTGCTCCCTTGCGCCGAGGGCCTTTGTGGGTCCCTGACTTCTGGGTCTCAGCAGGCTTAACTCCCAGGTGAAGACGTCCCTCTTGGCTCTGGAAAATACTAGGTCCGTAAGACATAGCACAGGGATTATGACATCAAACTCATCTCTTTTGGAATCCCAGCTCTACCACTCACTAGCTCCGGCGAGTCACCTGATTTCTTTCTGTCTCCGCTTTCTTGCCTGCACGATGAGGGTCATGCTTCGTAGCTCAGAGAGCTGTCGTGACAATTTAACGAGACAATGCGACAATGCAGGCAAAGAGCTCAGCACAGGGCCCGGCACACACTAGGTGCTCCGTGTACCAAAGCTGCACTGAGACCAGGAAGCTTGGTTTTCTTTCGTCGTTGTCTTTGCTCTCTTCCTTGTCCTCACTACCAAAATCAAACAGAAAGGCTGAGGGACTCCAGGTCTAATCTTTTTCTAATCATCAGTGGTGAGCTGGGGCATGGGGGTTGCTCAGAGAAGAAGGAGGATGCCCCCCAGTCCCCCAGGGTTGTGGCTCTGCAGCTCCTGACCTCCCTCTCTTGTCGCCAGCAGCCCCAACAAGCGAGGCCCACCCACGTACAACGAGCACATCACCAAGCGCGTGGCCTCCAGCCCGGCGCCACCCGAAGGCCCCAGCCACCCCCGAGAGCCAAGCACACCCCACCGCTACCGCGAGGGGCGGACAGAGCTGCGCAGGGACAAGTCTCCTGGCCGCCCCCTGGAGCGGGAGAAGTCCCCGGGCCGCATGCTCAGCACGCGGAGGGAGCGGTCCCCCGGGAGGCTGTTCGAAGACAGCAGCAGGGGCCGGCTGCCTGCAGGAGCCGTGAGGACCCCGCTGTCCCAGGTTAACAAGGTGAGGCAACATTTGGAGGCCAGGAATGGCTCGGGGAGCTGAGGCTCCTCAGGGCCACTGCTGTGAAGATAGGAACCCCAGTCCTGTCGTTCAGGCTTCCTGGGACATACGGGTTTAGGGAGAAAATGAACTTTAAGAAGAGGCTTCCTAAGCAAATGGATAACCTGTGTGTGATTAAAAAGGAGAACGTGTGTGTTTGTATCTCAAAATGTAACAGCTACCGAAGAGTAATTGTTCCCTTCCCAGAGGCAAGTGTTAGCAGTTTCTAGAGCTATTCTGTGCATGTCGGCAAATGTGTATGTGTTTTCTCCTTTCTTAAACACAAACGATAGCGTACTATACAGAATGTTCTATGCTTTACTTTCTTGAAACACACACACACATATAAGTTTCTTTCTGGAAGGCTACACAGAAACTGGTTAACAACACTTGCTTTCCAGAAGAACTTTGAACTTTTTCAAATTTTTAAATTGTGCATGTGTATTGTCTGTATGATTTTGAGGTGAGCAGCTGAGGAGACGCGTGGGTGTGCTGCAGACACGGGGGCGGGGGTCCCGTGAGCGGGGGAGGGCCCCGTGCCTTCCCGGCGGGCTTGCTGTTTCCCGGAGCCCCGTCTGCACAGAGCCACCTTTCTGTCATTGGGAGCTGGTTTTCTGGATGGCTTTCTCCTCCTCACGTCACCTGCAGTTCACCGTCAGCACCTTTGCTCGTAAAGAAAGGAGGAAAAGCCATCCAGATGTTTTTTTCTTATCCCTTTTGATTTACCAGTAAAATTGTATGTGCGTGTACACATGTGCCCACACAGCTTTGGGGTTTCTCAGTGAATTTCACTCCCTGGCCGACCCCAAGCTCTGTGAGTTGGTGCTGCCCTGCACAGCGCTCACTGGTAGCGCCTGGAGGGACAGACCAGGCCTCTGATGGCTAAAACCTTCCTCTCCTTGTTTTATTCCTAGGTCTGGGACCAGTCTTCAGTATAAACGTCAGCCGGGAAAACCAACTGCTCATCTCAGTCTGCAGGAAAACACCAATACACTAGGGAACTGCGCTGAAGGGGACCCCAGCGCCCATCTGCTCAGCCACCCTCTGGCACAGCCGGGCCCCGACCCACCTCGGCATGGACACCCCTGTCTCCAGGAGGTGCAGGTGGCTGAGGCTCTTCGGAGCTGTCAGCGCTCGGTGCCTCCTCTGGGCACCTTCCTGCAGTCATCTCTTTGCACTTTGTTACTCTTTCAGAGCATTCATAAACTTTTGTACCTAGCTCTAGCCTGTACCAGTTCATCAACGGAAACCAACCGGGATGCTGACTACCACGTGGTTAGGATCCTAACTAGCCACTTCAAGATCCTAGGATTGGTTGGTTTTTCTTTCTTTCTTTTTTTTTTTTTTTTTTTAAAGACAACAGAATTCTTAATAGATTTGAATAGCAATGTATTTCCTGTTGTAGTCCTTTTTAGCTAGATCACACCACCAGGTCTTTGCTACTGGAATGTAGTGTAGAAGCGTCCCCATCAGTTGGCTAAACCTCCTGCACTCACGTGGGTTCCTCCTTGTTCCTGTCCATTTCTCATAGGTGGCCCTGCTCCACCCAGGGTGATGTCGCAGCCTAATGTTTACTGTTCTCATTGCCTTTTGTGGCCTTGACGCCTTCCCCTCCCACCAGCTGAGAATGTACGGAGGTCGTCGGGCCTCAGCTCGGAGGCAGTGACTTGGGGCCAAGGGACCTCGCGAAGCTTTTCTTCTCGCCCCTCAGCGTCATCCCCAGCCTGCTGTACCCGCTTTCCATGTCGCTTTGGCTGGGAAAGCATGCAATAGACTTGCTCTGAGCCCAGCATTAATGGGTCTCGGGGTCAGGGAGGGGCCTGGGGGTGCACACCTCGTCTGTGACAGCACACTGTCCCCACTCTGGGATGGGGAGGAGGCCCGTCCAGGAGTTCTGCATGGCGGTTCACTGCATGTGCTCCCCACCTGGCTGACCCCTCTGGGTTACTCTGCCGACGTGTTAATCCCATCCCATACCTCCCGCCGAATCGAGACCCTCTGACGACTTGCCAACTAACTGGCCACCACAGGCTGCAGTCTGTAGCACTGAACAAACAAAAAACAAAACGCTCAAGCCTTACGACCAGAGAAGGATTTCAGCAAACCACCACCTCCCACTCAGTATCCCCTCCGGCCTTCATGCTTCCCTGCTGACTCCCTGGTGGACGACGCTGTATTCACACACAATCCAGCGCGGTTCTACCCCACAAAACTGTGACTTCCCAAGGGAGCCTTTCCCTAGGGCTAGACCTAAGACCAGGAAGTTTGAGAAAGAAGCCGCAGCTCAACTTTTCCAACTCTGCCCGGGTTGGGGGTCCTCATTAGGTGCAGTGCGGCTCCCACCGTCTCTCTACCCTTTAGTAGAGTAGGAAATTCCTGGCAACTGGTATAGAACCAACCTAGAGGCTTTGCAGTTGGCAAGCTAACTAGCGGCCTTATTTCTGCCTTTAATCTCCCACAAGGCATCTCTTGCTTTGGATTCTCCACGACTTAGGCACGCCTCAGTAGCCAAGGCTCATCCTAGGTAGGCTGAACGGTAGACCCGTTTCCACCGCAGCAGGCGACCATGACCGTGTTTTCTTCAACCACGTGTCCACGGTTCCGATCCCTTCCCAGACTGCAACCCGGCCCAAATCCCGGCTCCTTCCTGCTCGTCTCTTAACCTAAGTGCTTTCTTGTCGGAAACGCCTACAAACCTCCACGTTGTCCCACCTTGGCAAATGTCCTGCTGTCGCGTTCTATGTGTTGCTTGGAGTCTTTGGGGTTATACTCCCTCTCCTCCCACGCCCAGGGCACATGTGACTGAATGTTTGCTGAAGATTTTGTCTCTTGGTCCACAAGTATTTGAAAAGGTCACTGGAAACTGGTCTTTCAGTCTTGGCATTTCATTTAGGATCTCCATGAGAAATGGGCTTCTCCAGCCCCGAAAGTATATATTGTGTGTCTCATCTGTGAAATGCTTCCTGCTATATAGAACTAGCTCAAAACACTGTACATATTTACAAGAAACTTTATATTCGTAAAAAAAAAAAAAAAAAAGGAAATTGAATTGGTTTCTACTTTTTTATTGTAAAAGGTGCATTTTTCAACACTTACTTTTGGTTTCAATGGTGGTAGTTGTGGACAGCCATCTTCCCTGGAGGGTGGGGAGCTCCGTGTGGCCACCAAGATGCCAGCAGGAAACACCGTAACACGAAATTGCAGTCAAAAGCTTATTAGCATAAATAAAGATTCTAGGTCTCCAAAAGTACAGGCTTTTTCTTCATTACCTTTTTTTATTCAGAACGAGGAAGAGAACACAACACGTCAAGATCCACCTTGAGAGGAATGAACTTTGTTGTTGAACAATAGTGAAATAAAGCAATGATCTAAAAAACGTTTGCTTTAGTGCAATGGCCTATTCTTTTCTGGAGAGAGACCATAAAAAAACAATTGCCAGTGTGGTGTCAGTGTGGGCTTCTTGTCATGGATGGGACCTTCTTTACTTTTTGGGGAGGCTTTTTCTCTGGGGTGGAGTGCGGGGAGCCACATGGTGGTAAGAATGCGCTATCCTGGAATCAAGAGATTGGTGATATTCTCTGCCAAAAGTGTGACATTGTAGAAGTTTGGTCAGTACTTCCAATGAACCGTGAATTGGCTATTAAGGTCATTTTATAGGACTGCAGAGTGGGAAAGCTGCTTTCTTAAGCAGTCACATAGGCCATTTTGAAAGGATTACTCAAGGAGGGATTACCCAGTTCTGTAAGGCGGCTAACCAAGAAAACAGGTCAACTTAAGATTTCTTTCATCTATATTAAGGCCACTGAGAATTGAATAATGTAGATTTCTTTGGAGAGAAGAATTCAGATCAAGGTAATTAAAAATGTAAATACATCTATTTTTAACTAGATTTCTTATAGTCTGCAAGGTAAGTTTTCTCCATCCTTTTTCAGTTCATCAGTATAAACTTGCTTGATCCAGACAGATGTTTCTTTTGGCAAATGGTGATTCTTTTTCATGGTTCCTACCGCTTTTATTCTCGAATTTTGATTTTCTAATGAAGTCATCTGACCATGGTCAAAATTTGTCTTGCCGGGTTGTATCTGACATTGCTTGTGATGGCAACCAGACATGCAATTTTGTTCCTCTTTTCTGTTTTTACTGTTGGGCATAAAAATCTGCCCCAAGGTCATAATTGTAAGAATCAAAATAATTCAGAAGATGAGGAAGTGAAATAAATGTTGGAATCTTTCTTTCCTCATAGCGTTAGAAAAATCTCCGTTAAATACCAACTGTCCCATTTCAGTTTATCATCCTGAGGGTTCTTGGCAGCCACAGAGTACTTCAAAAGCTAAGTAAACATAGTCTGATTCCAAAAAGAATGCGCTGAGCAATGGTCTTTGGACCCTATGGAACGACCTCCGGGAAACAACAAATTACTCAGCCACACCATAAAATGAGGCCCAGCCCTCCATGCTGCCACTCCTGTTTCTTAAGCACAAAATTAGACATACAACTTAATTTTCACTAAAGATGTTGACTGCATAGCATATTTCGTAACTGTTAAACGTTAGGATTTGGAGGGTTAGGCCAAAAAGAGAGGATTTGCTTAACAGGACTGTCTTCAGAATTGGCCTTCTTGAATGTTACCTGCTTTAGAAGACATTCTTGCAGATGTGAGTGTAAAGCACAGACTTGCGTAGCGTGGGCCTGCGGGCATGGGACCAGCTAAGCTTCCACTCTCATCGAACATGGTTAGATCGGCTCGTTCCAGTGGTTCTAAGCCGTGGGGAGATTTTACTTCCTTCCTGCCAGAGGGCATTTGGTGATGTCTGGAGACATTTTTGGTTGTCACAACTTGGGGGTATCCAGTGGGTAGAGGTCAGGGATGCTGCTAAACATGCTACAATGCACAGGACAGTCCCCGCTCACCACAGAGAATTATCCAAAGTGCCAGTAGTGTCAAGGTGGACAAAGATTGGTCTCCTTGGCCTGTTCTAGTTCCAGTCAGATTTCTTTCGTGGCAGTTTAAATACTGTTAATGATGTCTGAAGCATGGGGATTGTGGCTCTAGGCATATAGTGTTTATACGAGAAAAAAATTTTATTATTTGCCTAATCAAATGTTGAAACTCTCTTTTTCTGAAGCCGGGACAGGTGGAGGTAGCGGAAATACAGTCCAGTGTTGATCATGTTGTTCTCTCTTGAGTCTATCAATGATTAACGGAATTCTGTTTGCCTTGCAGGGGTTGTTAGAGGTAGGTGATAGACCTTTGAAAATGACTTCACTACTACTGTCTGTAACTCTGGTGGTGTTTCTGAGAGCCACAAAAAAGGAAAAATAAAATTGAGCCAGAGTACACACTTCTGGAGCTGTCTTGCTGTGTTCTTGAGGGCCATTGACTTTTGCAGAAGGGATGGGTGAATTCACTTTAGGGGGAGGACAAATGTAGCCGGAGGGGCTGGCATCCTCATCTGGGCAAAGGCCCTTTACTTTTATAAAAGACAAAAAAAAGCACAGTTTTGGGGGCCAACCCTGTGGGCAGAGCCTCGTGGTTCATTCTGGAGACAGCGGCTGGGCCCAGAAATTGGGCTCCGGCTGCTGTTCCAGCTTTTAGGCTCCTCCCCAAAGTCTGACATCAGGGATGGTGACTCTTAGGAAGACCCTGTGGATGTTTTTACAATTAGTTGGGATAACTTGGGTTTTGGAAGAAATGTGCACATGTCCATAACTTCCTTGTTTTCTCCAATATAGACGACAACTACAGTTGGCATTCCAGGGCAGAAGGCTCTAGTTTCTGTTTCTCCACTGATTGGCTGGTCAAGAGAGGCGTTGAGGGATTCCTCAGAAGCTGGATGGATTGGGTGAGTGGTCCGTAGACTCGAATCTTCATCAATTCATTAAAAACCATTGTAAACACAGGTGGACGTCTTAGTCCCTTTAGTGCTGCTACAACAAAATACCTGAGATGATGCCTCTTTTGTAAGGACCTTAATTTTATTCATGAGGGAAGGAGCCCTCATGACCCAATCACCTCTTAAAGGCCTTACCTCTTAATATCATCACATTGGTAACACCTGAATTTTGAAGGGGACACATTCAAACAATAGCAGAGAAACAGATATGGGGAGAAGTTAGTACATGCTCAGAAGTGAAACTGTGCTCATAGAGAAGGAATTGAATTAAACAAAATGAAATTTTGTTCTTTCCTAAAATGGTTTGGTCTCTGGCCTCAGCCATGGATGGTATCACTTTGATGTTCCAGGTTTTCGATCTTGGCCTTTGTGGAGTCCTGGAGGTTTGCTAACAGAGCTAGTTGAGGAGGGGCAGGTACTTTTTCCTAGTCTGGCCCCTTGACATCCTGTGTTTGTGGCCCTATCCCAGTCATGTTGTCAAGGCCTTGCGGATCCCAAGGTGAAAGGAAAGGATCCCTAGGGATCACTGTGTGCTAGTCCAACCCCTCTTGTTTTTCCGAGGAGGAAATCAGGCTGAGAGAGGCCATGTGACTTGCTTGAGGTCACACAGCTAGTCAGCAACTGAACTGGATCAACATCCCTGATCACTGCTCAGTGTCCACTCTCTGAGAGGGAGGGGACAGTGGAGGACTGGCCACTCAGGGGGCCACGTCAGGCTTGTGACCTGTCTGCAGTGCTATCGACTCCTCAGATTTGCAGCCATGAGAAGTGGAACCCCAGGAAGGGAACAGCCTTGCCTGGGTCCTTTCATCTTTGGTTCCAATATTTTGATTATAATTCTTTTTACCCTGTAATATTGTTCAACATTTTAATTTTCAGGCCTTAATTTGGCTCTATAAATTCACCTGCATATCAATTTCCAGAGGAAGAAATGTATCTTCATTCAAAAGCAATTGAAGTTAAGCTTTAACTAACCGTGTAAGTCCTCACCCATAAAGGGAATGCTAACGGAAAAGGCACTGCCTGAGTCACAGGACAGCCCAGTTTGACATGTGGCTTTGCCCCTGTGACTTGGGCAAAGCAAGGTGTCCTTTTCCACCTCCATAAATTCATCTCCATTACCTTCGGCTTCTTGGGTGTGAAGCCTTTCACTTGGGTCTGGGAGCAGGTTCTGGACCATAATGGACTTTGTGTTGCTTTTTAAAGAAAATGAAATCTTTTAAATATGTGCACACATGTAGAAGGGGGATGCTGACTCCGACACCCGTGTTTTGTGGGTGTGCCTACTCTCCTTCGCCCCAGCGGTCACCTCACCTGGGAGTGCCCTGTGGTCCCAGGACTTGGAGGACTCTTATAGGGTGATTGGTTCCTGTAAAATAGTTTTCACATTGCATTTTCAGCTCCAGTTTCCTGCACTTGGTAGATCTCATTTGTATGCTGGATTTTCTGACTTCTTGCTGTTTCTACCTGCAGCCCAGGGCTCGCGGCTCCTGCCAGCCCTGACCCAGGCCAGCAGCCGGGTGCCCTAATCCCTATTACAGGGAGGGCAGTGCTGCTCTGGGCTTACTCGTGCGGGGAGCCTCCTGCTCAGGTGTCAAACCCTGTTCCTGGGGCTCAGAGCTGGGTCCTGGCCCCACCGCCTCCCTCCCCAGCCCCTACCCTGGGTGGAGGGCTGTGTTCCTAGCTCACCAGCAGGACAAGGGCTTTTGTTTTTGGTATTTGAATGTACCTCTTAACTTCTGAGCTTAGCTATGTATTTTCAAATATTTTATCCAATTTTGGCAAGAGGATTGTTGTGTCTGTTTCCTTAGTCTACTTTAATAATCCCATGGTCCCAAAAATCTAGGGTTCCTGTGTCATTCAGGTTTCCAAGGTAAGGCAGATACTATCTAGCTAGGAATGATTTCCAGGCTACCTTCCACCTCAAGTGGACCAGGTGACACCCTGAGCTTCCCTTTTCTGTTAGATTTATTTGTTTCCTGATGCCTATGAAGAAAAGGCTTTCTAAAGGGACACCTGTAACCTTCTATCTTTTAGGAAGGAGAGACAGAGCTCCTTTCAGTTGATGCGAACATCCCTGATTCCAGAAACGTCCTGGTATCTGGTAAGGCAGTGTCATGCGATCCCAGGCTCCCCTGCGAGGCATGTTTATGAACAAAAGGAAGCAATACCTCTGGCCTGGGGATGCCACCAACCAGCCCAAGCCAGGAACCTTCGCTGTTACCTTTCTTCAGCCTCCCCTCGTGACTGAGCAGGTACGAGGGGCTCAGTTTTTCGGGGCCCCTTACCAGGCCTCCAAACTATGCAATGAATGGGTGGATCACAGGACTGACCCTCACCCCTCTGGGTGCGTGAAGCAGCCCTGTCCACTCTGGTGAGTGCCCCAAGGATGGTACTGAACAAGCTCCTGGAAGAGTTCCAGTCTCTTCTTCAAAGGACTGAATGAAATCAAAGCTTCTTCCAAGTACATGTCCAATTATTTTTACAAAGCTTTATTGAAACTCGTATGTCAAGGTGACAGTAATTCAGTGTTTTGAAAACAGTAACAAAACGGGTACCCCGAACTCAGGTTTACCAAATAAATACTGGAAACCAGGGAGCGCGTTCCTCCCTCTCCCAGCAGGAACAAAGAGCATAATGATAGCTTCTGCTGACTGGGTGACAGGAACCTGTGCTAACGGCCACATCTGTGGCATCTCCCTGGAAACTGAGCTGAGTGTAAGGAGGTCCACTTTGATCCCAAGGACGAGGCCACTGTCGAGTTCTACATTCCTTCCAGAATAAGCAGAAGCAACTGCTGCAGCTGCCTTTGCTAACTAGGGGCAGAGGTCCCGAACCAGGTGGCACAGGCTGTAATGGAAAGGAGGGTGGGGTGCTTCTCCAAAGATCTCACGGCAATAGTCACCTCATCATGACGGGAATAAAAAGCTGGACACCTTCCAGCTGACAGTGGTCAGTCCTCGGGATCATCCAGCTTAATGGAGAAATCTGGCAGCGGGTTCAAAAGTCTGTTCTGAGAACATATTATTGCTGATCACAGTTCATATGATCTATGTTCTAGTCATGTGACTTAAAAATTGCCTTAAGGTTGTATAGCCAGCCACCTCTAGTTAAAAAAAGAAAGTACGTAGTGCATGTAAATGTAAAACAACTGTAGAACTTCATCTGGAAATCAGACAGCTTCTAATTTCTACAGAAATTACGCCTCCCTGGAGCAGAGAACGGGAGATTTATTGCTTTGATTTTGAAGGACAGGCAGGACCAATACTATACTTAGTTTCACAGCCAGGCCTCAGTGCCTTTGTAAGGCCATTGGCTTATTCCTGACGATTACAAATGTTGTGTGGCCTCTGTCCCTGCATCCCAGATTTTTACTAGCAAAGTGGCTGCATCTTTTTTGGCTTAAGAAGAATCTCCACGGCCAGTTGAGAGGATGTAGGGTTAGACTCACACTGCCCTCATGCACTTTGGTGCGGGGGCTACAGGTCCTCCGCAGCCGCCCAACTCCTCTCTCGGCCTTGAAGAGGCCGCTGCAGCTCACAGCCACTGGGGGCCACGAGGCCTGTTACAGGCCCAGGCTCTTTAGGAGCTGTTGTGCCTGGACAAACCTTCAAGTAGGACTAGGGCAGGTATGAAATGTCGCATAAAGAGTGTGAATCGAGAGGTGACAGTCCATTCCCTCGAGTGGACAGCACGCGCGCCTGGAGTCTGCTGGTGCAGACTGCTGCCCACGGCTGGCTCCCGGCTCTCATATGGGCTTGTATAACAAGGTGGTGACGTACTTCTTCTTGTACCGGTGGGTTGCGCTGAGCACCATCACTCCATCCTAAGCAAGAGGGCGGAAATTATCAAAGGCAGGACTGAGTCCGGGGGCTCAAACTTTAAAGCATATGAGAATCATTACGGGGATTAATAAAAACACATTCCTGGGCCCACTTTCAGCACGTGAGGCCTGGAAACTGCCCTTTAAGCCAGTATCCGCAGGCACTCTGCTGCTAGGAGTCTTCTGAGCACACACACAGACATGTCAGCACACACTGAGAGACATGTCATTACCTTGATAGAAAGTGCATAGAGGTGGTTCAACATGACGTGATTGGGCTCAGGGAGCAACGCTGGATCACACTGTGAGGGAACAAAGGCAGATTTAGGATTTGGAAATCAAGATTCTCCTCTTTATTTCACAGCGCTGGGTATCAAAGGAGAGGAGGTGGGCTGTCATGCTGCCTCCGTTCCTAAGTCAGGCGACACCAGGGCTTGTCTAAGGTGACAGGTGGGGCGAGAGGGTTGTGCCCGCCGACCCGAAGGCCGTGCCTGCTGGAGGCACTGGTCTGTGCTCCATCGGGCTTTCATCCTGGCCTCTGAAGTGTGGCCCTGGTGTGTTCTCTTGGAGAGGGATGGGCCGGAAGGGAGTTGGCTGTTGAAGGCACTTTCAGAGAACATAGGAAGATACAAGATATACGCAATGCTCCTGGGCAGTGAGTCCAAACTTATGTCTGTAAGACTCAGAATGAAATGGATGGGTAGGGGATGGGACACTGTTACCTGTAGAAGCTCATATAGGGCTGGCACTTAGAGCCATACCTTCCTATGTTTTGAGAGAAGCCAGAGTTGGGATTTTTTTTTCATTGTATACTCCCAACTTTTATAAATGCTAATTCAAATGAAAAACAAGTGTAGGGCAACCACTCTGGGGTGGTTATTTTGCTAGTGGGCCTCTTGTCATGGTCCCTGCTTCAAGGGAGAGGGTGCACTCATGGTCACTCCACACCAGTCGGAAACTCTGTAGTCCTGGCCCTGAAGTGCCTCTCACGGCCCAAAACAGGTGGTGTAAAACCAAAACTGTGCATCTACCCTGTGCACAGGGCTGCTGAGGCGGAGTGACCAGATCTTTCTAAATGAAGAGGCTACAGCTGTCTTCGACACAACCACGCATGGCCATCTGGCAGGGCTTCTGATCTAGGAGGTGCGAAGATCTCCTTGAGGACAGAACAGCCCGGAATCCTGCAAGAGTTGTGCAGGCCAGTTTTCTCAAAAAGGAAGATGGACGCAACGTGGAGATGGACAGCTGGAAAGCCAGACCCTCCCTCCAGCTTGGCCACCGCTGGCCAGGAGATTTCCTCCAGGCTTAGCATCCCAGAGGCTGGGCTGATCCTTCTGTCAACAAACACCCAGTGAGCCCTGCTGGGGTGCTGGGTAAGAGCACCAACCGCCCAGGGATCTCACACCAACCTGCCCTATCTGAATGCTGGCTCAGCCTCTTACTGTGTGACTCTGGGAGTTTTTTTAATTAACTAATTTTTTAATTGAAAAAGCCATACATACATATGTGTGTGTTAGATAGACTTCAGTAGAAACTAATTTTTAAAATTAATAGATAAAAATTGTATTTTACCACGTTTTAACATACGTATACACTGTGGAATGGCTACATTGAGCTCATTAACATAAGCATTACACCTCACGTTTTTTGTGGTGAAAACATTTAAAATCTACTACTCTTAGTGCACTGTTGACAGGTACGTACATTAGTCCAGCCATTATGAAAACAGTGCAGAGGTTCCTCAAAAAATTCAATCTAGAACTACCACATGTTCCAGCAGCCCCACTGCTGGGTATACATCCAAAGGAAATGAAATTGGTATGTCGAAAAGATACCTGCGCTCCCACGTTCACACAGCAATATTCATAATAGCCAAGACACGGAATCAACCTAGGCGTCCATCGATGGACGACCGGATAAAGAAAACGTGGTACATACACGATGGGATACTATTCAGCCTTAAAAAGAAATCCTGCCACTTGCAACAGTGTGCATGAACCTGGAGGACATTATGCTAAAGGAAATAAGCAAGGCACAGAAAGACAAATACCACATGATCTCACTTACACGTAGAAACTAGAAAAGTCAAACTCACGGAAGTAGAGAGTAGAATGTTGGTTATCAGAGGCTGGGGGGTGGGGAGATGTTGGTCAAAGAACAGGAAATTTCAATTAGGCTGGAAAGACTAAGTTCAAGAGATCAATTATACAACATGGTGACTATTGTTAATTACAATCTATTATATTCTTGAAAATCTCTAAGAAGAGTAGATTTTAAATGTTCTCCCTGGGATGTTACTTAACTTCTCTGTGTCTCAGCTTCCCCATCTGTAAAATGGGGATAATAATAGTGCCTACCTTCACAGGTTTGTTATGAGACTAAAAGAATACATGAAAAGCACTTAGACTAGAGTTCAGGGCACAATAAACATCAGCCCTTTAGTATTACAACTAGAGCCAAAGTTTGTGTTAGAGCTCAGTGCTGTCTTGGACAGAGGGTTCCTGACCCAGACCCTTGGTCTATCTCCAGAAGCAGTTTCAATCAGAGAAACCAGCCAGTGATGCCTCTACTTTCCAGGAAAAAAGAAAACAAAACTTTTCCAGCTTAGCAGGGCACTGAAAGTCATCTAACTTATAAAGCTTTGTAAAATTAGAGTTAAGAGAAACAGCCTGACCCAAGTGCTGCTAAGATAGAAGCTAAATGTCCTTGCAGTTCTTCACCTGTTACGGCTGAGACGTTGCCAACTTAGCGCTGGAAACAGTGGGCACAAGGGGCGGAGGCGTGCTGGTCCTTATGACCGGCTTCTTCCTGGCATAGGCTGGGACGGCCGATTCAGGGGTCAGGCCCATGCTTGGGGGACTCTTGGCACAGGAGGGAACCTGGTGCCCCAAGAAAGGCGAGTCCCATCGGGATGGGGTAACAAATACTGGGGCTCTGCCCTGGCAATCCGGCAGTGACCACTGGGGGGGACGCCCACACGCACGCATTTCCACCACCTCATCTCAGCACTTGCGTCCTCTACCTGGGTGTTCTACTCAGCAACGCGGTCACTTTAGCACCTTATAAACGTGTGCCTCTTAAGAGGTGGCCGGGACCACACTGAAGAGCATCTAATTTCCTAGAATTACGACTATGCCATACCCTCCAGAGCCAGGAAATCCAGGTCACACAAAATGGAAAATGAGCCACAAAGGAGTAACTGGCTGTTCTTGGGGATCCAGGAGAACACACACTTACTTTTTGCATGTAGTATCAATTTCCCAGAAGAAATGCATGTCACCCAGATACCCCAAATTTTGATCCAGAAGCACTGATGTTTCTAAAAGCAATTCTGTGATTAAAACTAGATTCTCAAATTTGGGGTCAGAAGCGGAGCTCCAATACATAGCTTGCTAAGAAGGGGTGGTTATAGATCCTACTGTGAAATTGAAATGGAATGGGGCTTAGGCTGAGGCAGGAGTGAAAGGCAAGAAAGCAAAGTGCAGAAAGGCTCTGTGAGACCCTGGAACCTCGTGCTCGCAGCCTGTCCCCACACAGAGGTAGACTGTGGCAGTTCACACTGTTAGGTGACATGAGCTTGTTCACCAGCTGCTTTCAAGAGGTGGACAGGAAGGGGAGCAGGACGATCCAGGCAGATGCCCGTGTACTCACAGAAATGCCCGTGTCCTTGTTCAGGATGACCTGGAGCAGATGCGGAGGGAGGATGGGCGGCGCTTTAAACCGCTCTTCTGGTTTGCAGACGTAGGGCTCCTGATGGTAGGGGCCTGGCGGGGAACTGGACAGCTCTGTTGGGAGACGGTGACAGCACATTGACGTTGACAATTAGGAGCAGTCTTATTTAATCTATGGTGTTGTCATCCGGTTTTCCTTGTCTCTTGTTCCCTCAATACAGATTTATATCCTCCTGAACGACATACAGCCTCCGAGGGTGCAGAGCAGAGGAAAGGAGAAACCCTTCTGCAGTCTGAGGACTGTAACACCCAGGAGTAGGCTCAGACGCCCTGGAGGGAGAGCGCAGCTGGGGCACCGCCAGCAAGTCTGGGCCAGACAACAGGGAGGCTGTTCTCAACAAGCTAACCTTACCCGCCATGCACAATGATGCTTCCTGTCGCTTCAGGCGGGGCTGGCCAAGTCCACAAAGAAGCTCAAGGCTTCAAGTGAGGATTAAGTGGCTAAACCCAAGTTAGGAGCACCACCAGCCAGAATAAAAGGGAAGATGCAGCAGTCTGTTTACACAGAGGCAGTGGAAAAACAGGTTAGATAAGGCACTGGCACATTTTGAAATGGGGGAAAAAAAAACCAAAAGTCTGATTTCTAAAGACTCTTTGACTCCATTATACTCAAGTTCCTTCCAAACTCTTGAGTATCTCCAATTACAGATAAAGAAGCTTCTAGAAGAACAGCGCTTCATAATGTTAGAAGCAGCTCATTTGGTGGTATTTGGCCAGTTGAAAGGTACCAAGCCATTATTCAAAGAACACGTGGGATGGGTTCTGATCACCAGACCCCTGGGCATATCCAGAAAAAAACCTGATACGCCCTCCTCTGCCAGCTGCCCCAGTGTCATTTTCTAGGGGACAGGCCTCCTTCATGTGACCCAACCGTATCACAGCAGGAAACTGAGAAAAGCATTAAGTGCAGAAAACTGAGCCATGAGAAATAAATAAATATTTTAGGAAAGTGAGTGTCTAGATATAAAAAATCTGCAGAGTGCCTGAAGTTGGCTTAGCAGCAGAAAGGGGTAAGTTTTCTCTCCCCAGGTGATCTATACTGTGGAAACTTGACTAAAAGCTTTGGTGTGTGGCATAAAATTACATTTACCAGCAACCCCCGATTCCCGATTAATCTGAAAAAGAAATGAATGATAGCTCTAAAAGATCTGTTAACTATCCAGATAAAAGCACACTAACTTTGGATTTCCAAGTCCTGCTCAACAACCTGACCCGTCAGCCACGGCGAGCCCACCCCGGTCCATTTACCACTGCCATTTCTGAACTGGTAACAATAAGAGATCCTGCTGGCGGAACCTCCAGGCCCCGCCAGGCGATGAAGAATCGTCCTGTAAACTGCATGGACTCCATTTTCTTAGAGTGCCAGACACGCTCCTGGGAATCTTTTCACTGCCTCCCACAGGGGCCAGGAATTGTTAAACCTCCGCTCACAGGAAGGGGCAGCGTGGCTGGCAGTGACACTTCAGATTACAAGCTGTCCTTTCCCGAGAATTATACATAATATGTTCTAGATAGTTTCTTCTGGTGGGATTTGGATGGGAAGGCAATTTAGTGAAACCTCGATGATTGAAAAGACTCTTGGAAGATGAGAAAATCTTATCAGGACTGCACTGAGCAGGTTCCCACAAAGGAGACCTGTGCCGTGGGGCCTGTTTCCCAGGATCAGCCTCCTCCTCCCCTGGAGGGATTCTGACAAGGGCTAATGCACCACACAAGTGATGCCCAGGGTCACTGAGGTGTCCATTTATCACCCGTCAGGCTGAAATTCTCCAGGCACCACGAACGGGAAGTGAGCTGGCAGGTGTCCCCAGTGTTGGCTTGTCACTGACCGACCCTCCAAGGCCTCTTCAGCTCTGCCCCTGGCACGAGATCAAGCACTGGTTCTGTTTCCACTGTCTACTTTCTGTGGGCAAGGAGACCTACTGAATACTTGAGATGACCGGGAAATGGCTTATAGCTCTCATGGGGCTCAATTTCAACAACCTGACCCGACAGTCAGGAATTCAGTTTTGTGGCTCTTAAGGGAGCTATAAATGTCCACCTGACTGGGTAGATTTAGCTCAAGAGTAAGAGGCAAGAGAAACAAGACGATTTCTAGACTGCACAGCCCCCACCTGCAGACATGTGGTATAAAATAACTGTGTTCATACCAGACACATCGGAGCACTTTTGGGAATCCACCATTAAAGCATCAAATACTTCAAAGTCAGTTTTCTTCACTTGAATGATGTTGTTAACTGTGCCAAGCTGGCTGGTTACTATTGGCTGGGAAGAGACAGACAGGGAGAAATCATAACGTGGAAGGTCTATGGGGTGATTCTTTAGAGGACTTGGAATTCCTTGATGGAAGGCCTCATCTCCTGGCTAGCCACCCTGCTCATCCTGGTCAACTTCACCAACTGTCTGATAGTGCTGCTACCCAGCTCAGCCACACACAGGGACTTTTACCAGCAGGGAAAAGGGACCTGGCAACAATGAGTAAGGGAAGGTGATTCGTTTGGACCGTACAGGCCACAGGGCGGGAGGAAGAGTACCTCAGAAGGGTCGTGTGTCCACTGACCATCCACAAAGAACTTGTACTGATGCTCCCCTTCGGGCAGATCCAGGATGGCTACAAAGTTATTGTGGCTGCAAGGAAAAAGGAAGCAGAGGATTTCAGCTGGGTAGGCTGCCCTCTTAGCTTACTTGCCAAATCAGCTATGGAAAAAAAAACCAGAATATTTCCGTGTAGAACCAAGAGTTTAGCTGCAGGAGAACAAACATTTTTAACCCATTTACACAATTCAGTATAATGATCTCAATCTAGAAAGGCTACAAGGAAGCAGCAGTGTAAAAGGTTTTCCTGAAAACTCAGTTTTGCTCAAATACCAGCAACCCACATCCCTAATATTAAAAGGTCAACAAACAGGCCTTTGTCCTTCTCGAGCTGTGTGTAAAATACCACCCCGCAGCCCTGGTGCCACGGAGGATGACAACACAAGATAAACAGCAAGCTGCCTAGTGGTACCCTCTGTCAGTTTGCCTTGGGCAGGGGAGGGGATCAATTTAGCAGGAGGCACAAATGTTCTCTAAAGAAACTTATGTAACTACTATAAAAGGATTCTGGGAAAGCTCTTTCATCTGGCTGTTTTATTCCCCGACTTGAACTGGCTGTGACTACTATGCCGAGTGCCTTCCTCCTCCTCCGACGTTACCACCGCAAAGCAGGCAGCCTCTGACAAAACCGAGGCCTGGCCCAGCAGGGCAGGATTTCTCCCTTCATTTCCTTAGACTACTTCCCAGTGAAGACCCTTTCTCACTGACAGAGACAGAAGTCCATGCTAGGGTTCCTGATGAAGTGTCTTACTATATCCTTGCTAATGACGCCTACATAGCATGTACCTTTCAAACAGAAGTAATACACAGAGAAAAGAAACCTCAGAGATCATGTGGTCCAACATTACTTTTTTACAGAAAGGAACAGTGAGGCTCCAGGTGCTAAGTGACTGTTAGCACAGCCAATGTGGGCTCAAAGCTGGGTCTAAGATTCCCAGCCCAGTGATCTCTCACTGCACGGGGGTCAGATCTCTGTGTTTCTGAGAAGTCCCGACTGGACAAACACATAGCTGAGTATGTGAAGTGAAAGATGTCCGTAACGCAGAAATACTGTCTACTGAGAGATGCTGCTTTCTTCTAAGATGTGCTCTAAATCTAGAGACTGCTTGGGTTTGGGATTTGAAGCCTATAAAATGGATGCTGAGTGGAAAAATCATCTTTTTCTATTCACCTACAGGGACCTTTCAAAAACAAGAGCATCCATGGGTGAAGACGTGAACACTCCCCAGGCAATTACCTTCTTGTGAGAGGAAGTTTACTCCAGTTGTTGAAGGACCCAGATAAGTAAACTTCCTTTCCGCCCCCCGTCCACCGAAATACAGTTGGCCGAGCCTGCGCGGGAGCTTTATCATTCACTTCCAGATCGTGCTGCCAGGCCAGGAATTCCTCCTTCTCTGGAGCCTAGGAGAGGAGTAGTTTACTAGTGACAGGAAGCCATTAGTGAGCTCTCTACAACAGACAGTTACTCTGATATTGACAATTCACTCTAAAGATATTGAGGCTTGGTAACTTACTAGTGGTGCCTCAGTTTCCCCACTGGCAAAATAGAGATAATAAAAATAATTATTTCTTAAGGCTGTGGTGAAGACTGAGTGAGACAGTCTAGTAAAATGCTCTGCATAGCGTCTGACACATAGTGACTACTTAATAATTATTAGCTATTGTCATTAAAGAAGTCTACATCAAAAATCTAGGGGAAACTATAAAAGCCATTCAGGAAGAGGCTGAAACACAACCAAGACTAGCTTAATAAATGTCATTTTCCTCTTAATTAAGCAAAATTTGAAGTACAGTCATGCACTGCATAATGACATCTTGGTCAGTGACGGACTGCATAGATGACAGTAGTCCCATAAGACTATAATACCATATTTTTGCTGTATCTTTTCTATGTTTAGATAAATAAATCCTTACCATCGTGTCACAACTGCCTACAGTATTCAGTTGACTAACATGATGTAGAGGTTTGTAGCCTACGAGCAACAGGCTATACCATACAGTCTAGGTGCGTAGCAGGCTATACCATCTAGGTTTGTGTAAGTACACTCCGTGATGTTATCACAAAAACGAAATCACCTGACGACACATTTCTCAGAACACATCCCTATCATTAAGCGACGTATGACTACAAATGAAAATTAGGAGTAATTCTAGAGCTGTCAACTTGAAAACTGGCATCTCCAGATTCTGAGGAAGGGAAAAATTACTAAGTGCCGTCCAGGCACTGGGGAGAAAAAGACAAGACAAAGGCTGACCACTCATTATGGTAAACAGTAACTTTCAGTGTGATTAGCACCTTATAACTGAGGCAATCCAGAATAAGAGAGAAACTCATTCGACTCTAGGTAAAATAGCTGTGGTTATGGACCTTTTACATTTTTTCCTAGTCAGAAGCCAAAGACTTTAAAAGAGCAGGAGTCTCAGGCTGGGAGAGACTCTTCACAGAGTTAAACAGGGCTTCTAGCACCTTCATGTCAATGCTGAGCTGAGCTTATCTAAAATATGCCTACATTCTTTGTTCCAGCAAAACCTACAGATTAAAGAGTAACAGACTGGAATCACTTTACCCTGAGGATGTGATAACTAACTGTATTCAAAACAGTGCACTAGTGTAGTTAAAAGAATCCATTACTTTTCTTGATATCTGGGGCATTCAATCATGTATCTGGCTATATCATTTCAACAACTTCTGATGAAATGAGAACGGACGCTACTTAAAATCATTCTCCACATATCATGTGTATGCTAAACACTTCTTGTAGAAATTTTGGAACAGCAACGGAACAACACATACTCCTTGAAGAAAGTAGTTTGATTCCCATGGTGTGGGGCTAGATAACCATAATAGAATCAGGAAGACTCCCGAACGGGTGGTCGGCCCAAACTTGTGAACTATATGCTCTCAGCCAAGCCTTATAATTCTCAACAAAGAAGGGACCACCTACACAGACTCTCAATATGCCTTTGGAGTAGTTCATACCTTTGGAAAAATCTGGATGGAATGAGGGTTAATTAATAGTAAAAGTAAAAACTTAATACATAAAGAGTTAATAACCCAAATTTTAGAAAGTCTAATGTTACCAGAAGAAATAGTTGTAGTTCATGTTCCAGGACATCAAAAAGGGTCCTCCTTTGAACACTGGGGGAAATAAGAGATGAAGTAGCTAAACAGGCTACTCTCTCCTCAGAAACGTCAATATTCCATTTAACACCACATCCCCCTGCCCCTGTTGCAGCCCTCATTTTTACCCCAGCAGAAAAAGAACTAGTAAGGAAAGTAGGGGCGGCAGAAAATTCAGAGGGAAGATGGCTGTTGCCCGATGGAAGGCAAATCCTATCCAAACCGATGGGAGAAATTTTAACCCAGCTCCACCAGAGTAGTCATTGGGGTCCCCAAACAATGTGTGATGCGATTCTTCGCATTTATAGTTGCACAGGTATCTACATGTTAGCCAAACAAACCTCTGAGGGATGTATAACATGCGGGAAAACTAATAAGCAAGCTCTAAGACAGGTGCCCTCTGGAAGGAGGAATCCTGGGTTATGACCATTTCAAAGCATTCAAATTGACTACACAGAAATGCCCAAAACAGGCATCTCAAATACCTTCCTGTAATTGTAGACCATCTCACTCGCTGGGTAGAAGCGATTCCACTAGCTGGGGCAACTGCTGATAATGTAGTCAAAGTCCTGATTGAACATATCGTGCCCTGATTTGGTCTGATCGAAAATATTGATTCAGATAACGGGAGTCACTTTACTGCTAATATCGTCAAAGGACTCATACTAGGTTTTAGAAATTAAATGTAAGTATCATACCCCCAGCACCCTCCTTCCTCAGGAAGGGTAGAAAGAATGAACCAGACTCTGAAAAATCAGCTCACTAAATTCATCCTGGAAACCAGGTTACCTTGGACTAAATGTTTGCCTGTAGCCCTTTTAATGATCTGAAAGGCCCCTCGAAAAGACATAGGCTTATCCTCCCATGAAATGCTTTACAGATTACCCCATCTCAATTCAATTACCGACATTCCCACCTTCGAAACCAAAGACCAATTTCTTAAGAACTATATACTTGGTTTGTCTTCCACTCTGCTTTCTCTCAGGGAGAGGGGACTCCTGGGACAAATGCCACCTCTTGAGTTTCTGGTCCATCCACATCGACCTGGAGACTATGTGCTGGTCAAAGGCTGGAGGGAAGAGAAGCTCAAACCAGCCTGGGAAGGACCCTTCTTAGTGCTTCTGACTACAGAGACAGCTACAGCTGAGAAGGGCTGGACACACCATACACAAGTGAAAAAAGGCAATCTTTCCCACACAGGGAAGATGGGAGGCCATACCTGCATCCAATCCCAAAGTGACCTTCTGAAAGGTTTAGTTAGCATTATCTTCATTTCCCTTTTCCAGCTATCAGCAGGCCTTTTTACAAGCAATGTTCCCAGTTCCACAGCACGGCAAACTGTAACCTTTGACGCCTGTCAGGTTATACCACGCAGAAGCCCAGAAAACCAAAGACAGCTTTCCGGAGCTGACAAATACCTCTGCCCTCATCCTCCCCCACCAAATAATCCAACCCAAGATGTTACTACTGGCCCACGCACTAGACGACCCGAGCTTTGTAGCCCATGCCACCACTGGGTAGATTTTTGGTGGACAACCCAATATGAAGGTTGGACATCACCAGGAGGCTATCTTGGATCAACCTTAAAACCTAAAATCTACTTTTCAAAAGGGATTTTCCCACCAAATTGCAAACTACATCAGTGCAACCCTGTAACTTTTTCCATAAACGTCCCCACTTCTGAAGACACAACCTTAAATAGAGCCTTTGGAATGGGAGCAGATATATGAGGTACAGACCCAATTGGACAATTCTCTTTAAAAATAATGCCTCCTGCCTCAACCGTCACATCCCCCACTCCTTCTATAAAACCTGACAACAGCACTGTACCTAAATCTTTCCCCAATAACCCATCTAAGGTAACCATTATGCAGGTCAAGGATTTAAGGCAAACAGCTGCAACAGAAACTGGGTATAAAGCTAAAAACGCCCGGTTAGATCAAATATCCTGTGCACACTCTAAATAAAAGCGATTGTTACGCCTGTGCGACAGGGAGACCGGAGGCCCAAATAGTTCCTTTGCCACTTGGATGGCATGCACTGTATGGTAGCTCTCTTCCAGGAGACCAAGGCATGGGGAAATAAATCGTGTAAAACCCTATCGTTGCCCTTCCCTGACATGAGAGGTCTTGCGGGTCAGCTCCCAAGGACCGTGAGGCCACCAGCCTCTGACGTCAACTTCACCTTATGTCTCTCTACACAGGAGGAGGGGGCAGTGTCTCTTGAAAACAAGGCAGGGTGCAATGAAAGCCTGGCCTTCAAGAACGTACAGGATCAGTCTGCCCTCTCCCTACCCCGAGGAGACGTCTGGTGGTATTGTAAAGACAGACTGTTCGAGGTCCTACCAGAAAGATGGAGTGGCACCTGCGCTTTGGTGCAACTGGCCATCCCTTTTACCCTGGCGTTCCATCAGCTCCCAGTTAAGGAAAGGGGACATAGGACAAAAAGAGAAATAAATGCTCCCAGAGGATCTTTTGATCCCCATATTTTTACTGATGCTACTGGAGTCCCCGAGGGGTACCAAATGAATTCAAAGCTAGAAATCAAATAGCTGGTGGGTTTGAATCTATATTCTTTTGGTGATCCACTATAAATAAAAATGTAGACTGGATCAAATACATATACTATAATCAACAAAATTTATAAATTATACCAGAAATGCCATCAAAGGTATAGCTGAACAACTAGGACCTACCAGTAAAATGGCTTGGGAAAATGGAATGGCTTTAGATATGATACTAGCAGAAGGCGGCGGAGTGTGTGTCATGACTGGAGGCCAGTGCTGCACTTACATCCCCAACAGCACAGCTCCGGATGGCACAATCCCAAAAGCTCTGCAAGTACTATCTTGGCTAATAAGCTAGCTGAAAACTCAGGGACAGATGACCCTTTCACTAGCCTTATGGAGCAGTGGTTTGGAAAATGGAAAGGGTTAATGACGTCAGCACTAACTTAATTACTGTATTTGGTGTCTTAGCATTAATGGGATGTTGCATTATCCCTTGTGCTAGAGGACTAATCCAAAGATTAATAGAAACAGCCTTAATTAAACAACCTCTTCCACCCCCATATGAAAACAGATTATTACTATTAGAAGACCAAGAACACCAAAGTCATTCCTCCTCACTGAATTTGAAGAAAAGAGTGAAAAAGTCTAATATAAAACAGGGGGAAATTGTAGGGAGAGATAACCTTGGCTTGATCTTTTCTGCCAAAGTATCAGGAAGTAACACACTTCCACATACCTTACTGTGCCTGACTGGCCCGCCAACTCCAAACATCTACTACCCTAAGAGCCCCCCACCCCCTCTTCCTTTGTGTCTTAGCAACACACCTGAGCCAATCGGGTAAGAACAAGACTGTGCAGTTGAAACTCCAGTCAATGGGATGAGACACAGCCACAGGTCTGTGTTAGGGATAAAAAGGTGAGGAGCCCCCCTGTATCCCACGTTGGGTGGCTGCTTTTTCTGCCTCGAGGTGCCCTTCTGATCAGAAGTAAAGATTTTGCCTTGCCCAGACAATGTGTAGTGTCTGTTTTCTTAATGGCACAGCGGGTCATTTCTAACAATGGTGTCTTAAATAGCCTTGGGAGCAAAATTGCCTCTGGGGAGAGGGACGTCAAGTTGGAGAAACATGATTTTAAGCTTTAAATATGATTTTAAAGTTCACTTTGCACACAGCATTTCAAGAATGCCACAAATCTAGAAAGCAAGTTCAAATCACAGCATGTAGGGACAAATAAAAGCAGGCTCTTTATAAGAGACTCAAAACTAAGACCCGAGTGAAGGTATAAGATAGTAACGTGATCAATTGCCCAGCCTAACCTGAGGAAAGGTGGAATGAGTTGCCAGGCAATTAGCCTAACAGACTATGATGATTAACATGAAACTGGATACTAATAGAATACACTGTGCACAGGGCACCTTCGTCCTTCCTAAATCTACTTTGTTCTTTTAAGGAATAAGCTGTTTTTGGATATACCACATAAATATCAGCTGCCAGCGCACTCAGTGTCCTTAGACTGGGCCCAGCAGCTGGAAACACAAACCTTATCAAGGTGGTTAACAGGAATGCTGCTGAAGCGGACGTCAAGCATTATCTGAGTTTTCAATGAATTGTGAACTAAAATAAAATCTTAAGACTCCCTCCACCCCCAACTGAATGGGCCCCTTCTTGGCCAAGGGGATACCCTAAAACTGAGTTGCAGGCCAAGAAAGGGAGGTCAGACATGCCTCATCATGCGCCCCCTCCCTTCTCGTAGGTATCCTTTGTAACTCACTGACAGGCCTAAGGCTATGCAAGACAAACCTGACAGTCCTCAATTTACACAACACATATATGGCTGGCAGCTTGTCTCCGATTAACAGACTTTCTTATCTTAAAACGTTCCAAGCCTTCAGACAAAGCTTCATTTCTTTTTTAACCAATTACAAGTCAAAGAGTCTTTAAACCCACCTATAACTTGTAAGCCCCAGCTTTGGGACGGCCCACCTTTTCGGGCCAAACCAATGTATGCCTCCCATATATTGATCTATCTGTAATCCCTGTCTCCCTGAAATGTAGAAAATCAAACTGTAACCTGAACCACAGGAAGTCCACTTGCTCAAGGCTTCTTGGGTGTGGCTCCTGGCCAGGTTACTCAAAGTTGGCTCAGAACAAACCTCTTCTTATTGTATTACAGAGTTTGGCTTCTTTTCCGTTGACAGAATTAAAACAGATTGCAGAATGAATTCCACATTTGGCCGGCAAAAATGTTTGCGTTGGTCTGCTTAAGATATTAAGTCATATTTAAACAACACAGTTGAAAAGCTGAGTAGCTGCTGGCTGCCTCCTTCAGACTGACACTTCACTCACCCACTGACCTCCAGAAGTCGAATGACTTTTCTAGGCTTGCTCTAAATAAGCAGGGTGACCCAAAAGCGTTAGGCAGAACTAAGCACACCTGGCAATTGCAGGCAGCTGTTCAACTCTTTCAGTTTACACGTGTTCTCTAGTTTATCTTCGAAACGGACAATAAACTCCAAAACCAACTTTTGCAAAAGTGCCAGTCTGCCTAAAGATGAAGGAGGATTTCTCCAAGCGTGAAATTAATTACACCTAAGAGAAAAGCAGAGACCTGGGCTCAATTACTGCTAGCTCGACTCAATTAATTAAGAATTTGAAACTCCTGTCCCAGAGCTTTCTCCTTAATGATGTTGAACGAAGGGAGTTCCTCCTCCCTCAGGGTGACTTTCTCATATCGGTAATTGGACGCAGGTTCTTGGACTGCTAAGAGGGTTCTTTCAAAGGCCACCTGGCTTTAAGTGTAGCGGGTGAAGTACCACCTCCCTCCCGGTTCTGATGGTTTTCGGGGGGATGCGGCGGGAATACGGTGGAGGGTTCCTCCCGTCCACATAAGTCAAGGGGAAACGTTTCCCCCAGTCCCCATACCTTGATTTCCTCGGAGTGGAAGAGGTCGGCGTCCTCGGGGCTGTCCATCAGGATCTTGGGCCTGTCCCCGTCTTTGGTGCCCCCCGAGCTGTCCCTCCGGGGCGTCTTATGGCCACCGTGCCGCTCCAGCGCGGCGCGCTCGCTGCTCGTGTTGCCCATGATGGGGGTCTGTGGGGACACGGGAAGCCGGACGGAGCCTCACTCCAGGAAAGGGACCCCGGCTAGGGGACTCTGCAAGGAGCACCAGGCTACCTGGGGCCGAGAGCCGGCCTGAGCCGAGTCAGCAGGGCTGACGAGGTCTCGCAATCGCGCTTTACCTGCTCAGGCGACCGCGGCGCGAACCCAACGAGCTCAAAAATAACCCGACACTTTCCCAACAACTTTCCCCCACCCCTTCCCAACTTCCGCTTCCTGCGACTGCGCGAGTTGGCCCGGCCCAGGGTGTGAGGGTGGCGGCGGCCAGCCAAGCGCGCGAGGCTACTTCGACCTCACTTCCGCTTCCGGTCTTGGGCTGCGCGCCTCGGCAGGCCTCAGAGGGCGCAGTCGCAGTCGGCCGCCCAGGGCCCGACCCAGGACTAAGCCGCTGGGGGCCGGCAGGGGGCGCCCCAACGCGCCAGCTGCCCGGGCCGCTCTCCGCGTGCTGAGCTGAGTGGTGCCGTCAGATAAGGTGTCTTTGCCCACTTGCAGTTCATTCTACACTTTACAGCCAAAGGGATCTTTCTAAAGTGCAAATCTAATTAAGAGAGTCCTCTTCTTAAAGCCCTCTAATGCACTAGCTCTGACTCTTTAGAGGGCATTAGAATCACCTGGAGTGCTTGTTTAAAATGCAGCCCCCACTGGAGATCCGCTGAATCATGATTTCTGGAGATTAGGGTCTGGCGAACCCAAGGAGGTCTTGCAGGTGTTTGAGGAAATGGCGGATCATAAAGTCTCAGGAAATAATCTTACGTCTGGTAGGTTAGGAGTTGTAAAACGCTGAAGTCATTAGTGTATTTTTATTAAATCGAGTGCACAGCCTTTTGATAGGTAATTTTGCAAGATATCTTGTAATCACTTTGGACACATTGTTCTGCATAAAATGCATAAGCGCTTCTCATTTACTGTGGCCAGTGCTTGTGGTATGCAAGAAATGCATACACTTGTGGTAGTAAAATATCCTAATCTTCTCATTGTCAGTCATTTTCATGGTTTTGTTTTGCTTTTCCGTGTGAATATCTCAAGATACTTGGCATTTGCTAGGTCTGGTCATGCATTTCACCCACTGAACATTTATTTAGTACGTTCAAAGTACCAGACGCTGTGTTAAGGAAACAGGGAACACAGATGACTAAGATAAGGTTTCCTGGAGGGAATTTAGCAGTATCTATCAAAATAAAAAATGCACCCTCATTTGATACACAATTTTACTTGTAGGAAAATCACAGAAATATACACATGAAAATTATTTACAAGCATTTGCAGTATCATCTCTAATACAGTAACATATTAATTCTAAAATGGGCTTTTTTTTCACATTTTACCCTCTCTGAAATTGGGTGCTTCTTACAATCAGTGGAATCTTAAGATTTGATGATACAAGTAGATGAAAAACTACAAAATTCTAAAAGTTGGTCAGTAGGAGAATGGCTAAATGAGTTGAATACATTCATTTTATAGAATACCGAGCAACTTTTAAAAAGGAAGAAACAGAATTTTGTGGGTCACTATGGGGCAGTGTCTATGACATTGTGAGGTCCAAAAGCAAGTGGACAATAGAAGCCAAGAGCATGAGCTTTGAAGTCAGCCTGCCTGGGTTCAAATTCTGGCTTCACTACTTATTAATAGTAATTGTTGTCTTGGTTTCTTCATTTCTGAAATGGGAATAAAAACAACACCTACTTTATAGGCTTGTTTATGCATAAAAGGTGCTTAGCACGGCACCTGACTCTTAGTAAACAGTCAATAACTGTTAGCACTTTTATTAGCATCATTATGCATGCAAATGGAAAGTCCTGGAAGGATACTTCTGGAAGGATATACATTGTTAATAGTGGTCCCCTTTGGGGAGAGGACTGGGATTGGAAACAAGAGCAAATAGAAAGGGGACTTTCGCTTTTTAGTTTATATACTTCTGTATTGTTTGAAAAATATGAGGATGTCCTACCTTTTAATTTAAAAACAATTTTAAAAGACAAAAATAATATCATTATAAGATGATAAGACAAAAATAAAGACAAAAATAGACAAAAATAAAGACAAAAATAAGACAAAAATAAATATCATTCTAGCCCCAGAGGAATCCATAAAGCAGAGATAGGAACAGATCCACAGAAAGGCAATAATATAGGTAGGCAAGGGATGCCACAGGAGCCTGGGAGGGGCTTAAGTCAGGCCAGGGAAGAGGGCAGGAAAGGCCTCCAGAGCTGATGACTGAGAGTCTGCATTTACTCAATATAATCAGAAATGTTGAACATGCTTGCTGAATTAAATAAGCTGAGATACTGTGGATGCCCCAGAATATGTTCTTTGAGCTGTTTTTCTAATAGTGGCCTTGACTTCCTCATAATAATCAGGGAGGAAGCCATGAACATGAAAATGTTGGAATTCTCTCCCAAACGACTGTAGAGATAAGGATGACCTGTGGACTCCTTATCTGAGCTGTGCAGATGCTCTGACGCATGAAGAAAGTTTCAAGACATCTGCTCTGGCTTGGATAAGATAACTGAAAGCATGGGCCCTTGATGCCAAATGCCGTGAACGACATCCTGAGGATGCTGTCGACGGCTGATGGGAGAGTCTCACTATATGGTATCAAGATTTCATGACAGAGAAACTAACATTGGTATCTATTAGCTATTGTCCCCACACTGAAAATCACAGGTAGGGTAGACACTCCAATTACAAGTGCCTACTTGGGTTCCAGTTGTGTTTCTCATGGGTCACTTTGTGTTACTTATCTTTATTTAACAATGGTTCATGACTTTCCCCAGCACCAGAAGCGCCTCTTCTTTCTTTGATTCACTGCTGGTGTGGGTGTCGGACCACTCCATCCTGGGGGTGGGGGTGTGCCAGGAAGTGCAACTGTTAGGGCATCCCTGTGTCAGAGGCACCATCTGCTCACTGCTCTCAGTTGACAGCCAGGGCAAAGAGAGGTAACAAGGCACCCTAGATTCTCCCCCAAACAAACCAGGGCATTTGCATCACAGCCACAGCCAGGAGCCCACCCAACCTCGCCTTCAAATCCACTCCAGCTCTAAGACCAGAAAGCAACAGGTTTTCGAGTCCTTAAAAGTCACCTAGAGTCAGATAAAATCTCATTTATCCTGAAACTTGTGACTAAAAGGGTTAAGGATGGTGTTTTGAGGCATCCTCCCTCGCAAGGACGGATTAGAATCAACATCAGCCTGTCACCAACCTGTTTGTTTTACATAAGGAACAGTCTGAAGCCCAGAGGTCAAACTATTTGCCTGAGGTCATTTGGATGATCATAGGTCATCCTGAGACTGGACTCTGGATCACCTGGCCACTTCCTTCCACATCATGGTCATTGGTGTGCCTCATCAAAAAAACCCTTTGTCTCCCCAGTTGGTCTGTCTACAAACATCAGTGTTGTTCTGAAGAACTCTCTCCATCTAAGAACACTCAGGGATTTATATATGGGAGAATATACCTGATTTCTGTGATGGTTGATATTATAAATTTTATAATGAGAATTTAGGCATTGAGCTGAGTCTTAGAATTCAGCTGGTTATAAAAATGCAAACTTGTAAATTTAAGAAGTATACAATCTTGGGGAAGAGACCTCGATTGGCAAATAGCTTCACTTTGTGACTTCTGGGTTGTATGACAAAATTCTGTTTCTTGACTCAGGTTGTGGTTATTAAAGCATTTGCCTTGTAATAATTCACTCAACCACACATTTCTTTTGTGTGGTTTCCTGTATCTTTATTTTATTTTTGATAAAAAGATTTTTAAAATAGCTTCACTTGCAGGGTAAGCTAACAGCTGAGGGAAGAAATGCCCAGGTCAAGGTAACACATCTTTCTTAATGAAGTTTACCCGAAATTTGTCCTCTTTCAAGAAGCTTTGAAGGAACAGGGGAGAAAAGGATGTACACTTCCTACCCCTTCCCAAAGGACAACTGACAACCTAAAGCAGTATTTGGGCAGAGATCCAATAGAGGTGAAAAAAAATAAAAGAAAAGGAAGTCTGTCTCTGTCTCATCTCTTTAAAGTGTAAGCTCCCAGGGATTTGAGGATCAGGGTTTCACGACCACTCTAACATATGCTGTTGGGACCACCATACTCCATCTGCACGCACGCTTCTGTAGATGTCCAAAACTTCCCACTGTGAGCAGGTGTGACCCTGCTGAAAGCCTTCTGGAGAAAGCTTGGTCTGTACAAGGCAGAAGCTGGGGGTGCACAGTAGATACCTTGAGAGCAACCCTCAGCCAATGACAGATGGATATTGGTGGATAAATACCCTAGCTCCCTTGCCCCTTGGATGGGACGACTCTAAGATGTATTCCCTAGTGGGAATAAACCTCAGTTACTCACTTCAGTAACTTGATCAAGTTATTGCATAAATGAACACTGAATTCGTTTATTTCTTTCCTTTCCCCTCCTTTATCACTTCTTGGGGAGCATCTTCCAAATAAATACTCAGAATCACCTTGCAAATAAACTACTTGCACAAAAATCAACCACTTAGGTTACAGATGAGGAGGTGCAATGACTTGCTGAATTATATAAGCAGCTAGTGGTCATAGATCATCATTTGGATCTTGTATCCTGGTTTCTGGTCCAGGGTACTGTGAGATTTCATTCTTCATGATGAGACAAACCATGGAGACTTAAAAAAAACAAGATTGGATAGCACTATTCTAATAGCCAAAAGGTAGAAGCAACCTAAATGTTCAGCAATGATGAATGGATAAACATATTGTGGTATGTCCATTCAATGGAATACTATACAATCATAAAAAGGAACGAAGTACTCATATATCCTACAATGTGGATGCCCTTGAAAATATGCTAAGTGAAAGAAGCTAGGCACAAAAGGTCACATATTATATGATTCCATTTATACGAAATATCTAGAATAAGTAAATCCATATAAATAGAAAGCAGATTGGTCCTGGCCAGGTGCTGAGGGAAAGAGGCAGTGAGGAGTGTTTCCTTAATGGGTTTGGGGTGATGACCCTGGGTGCTTATGATCTAGTAGGGAAAAGGGACCTTAATGAAACAATCATCCAACAGTTACCCATGACAAATGCTAGGAAGGAGAAATGTGACCTAGTGAGAAGAATGTGAACAAGTTAGGACATCATGGAAGGCTTCCTGGAGGAAGTGACAATCAAACCGAGATTTGAAGACTGTAGGTGTTACAGTGAAAATTGTTTACCAAGCCCTTATTATGTGCCTGGCAGTGTGCTTGATATATGAACTCACATAAT